TCACATCCAAGTAAATATGTCCACGGTATCACATCAAATGTTAACTGAGACCATCACATGCACACGTGCATCCCACGCCTTTCTGGACGTTCCAGGAAAGTACCGGAACATTCTCTGATTGAGCACATGCAGTACATCAGAACTGAGTCATGTGGACGTCTAAATATATATGGGCATAAATATGTGTGACTTTATATTGTGGCTTACATGTATAGTCTTCAAAATAAAAAAGAAATTTAATGGAGCAATACGAGGAACCTCATGCTATCCTCACCCAAGATCTGTTTCTCTGTGCTATTGCCGAAATAACATTTTTATGAGACATTTAGCTAACTGCCACTGAATCTGGAAGCTTCATAGCCTCGCATGTACAGAAGATTGAGGCTGAGGAGCCTCGGTGCACGTGGAGCTCGGACCCAGGGCGGCTCGTCCCATTTTGCCCCCGACCCGTCATGCAGTCCCACTTGCCTGGACCGCGATGTCTGGAGTTCGGGGGGGCTGGGGTGGGAGGAGGAAGACAAGGACTTGTGGTGTCGGAGACGGGAGGAAGAGGAGGAGGTGGTCATGGAGGCTTGGGAGGCAATAGTGGTCAGGCTGGGGGGGGGGGGAATGAAGGAGAGAACCCAGCCCAACCCCGTGGCAGAGTGGGGTGTGAGTCGGGGTGGGTCACAAGTTAGATCCGACAAAATGAGAATGACACAGATAGATCAGACATGTGGGGGTCACCAGCACACATATAGAACCACCGCAGAGTAGGTTTGCGACCAATGTATGTCACTGTTAATATGAGGAGAGGGCAGGTCAGCGTCTCGGCCAGAAGAAAGGCACACTGGAGGGCAGGCGGCTGAAGAGGGACAGCGTTAGGGAAATAGGATCCACGTGGACAGCGAGGGAGCACAGCCAGACGCAGAGACGTGCAAGGACACCCGGCGGAAGGGATGCGCTCTGGTCACGTGAGCGGAAGGAACCAGAAATGGGAAGGACAACACAGGGGAGTGAGAGGGGCTGCAGGAAGGACAGGGATATGCTGAAGAAGCGGATTGGACAGAAGCCTGCGGGGCGAAGCGGGGGGTGAACTGGGGCTGACCAATCAGAGGCTGGTGGGGGCGGAGCTCAGCCGACTGCCAGTACAGGGCTGTGAATGAAAAAGTTTGGACTTGGAGCTTAAAGATGTGCAAGGGCTTCGATTAGAGCGGATGGAGAAGACGAGGGACCAGCAAAGATGGGGCAGCTCCGCAGCGCTGGAGTGGTGCATGCAGTGTACCTCTTCGCCAGCTCCGGGCTAACGCGATGCTCCGAATCAGTCCCGAGCTCTTTCCCTCGCTATCACCAGTACCTATCGCCATGCATTAATTCCCTGCGCAAGGGTACTGATAACCGGGGTTCTGCGGTGGCCCTCAGTGCCCGTCTTGCGCGGTAACCAACACTCTCTGGGACGTCAGCCTGATAACCTGGAGGTCGTTTTCTCACCCAGAGCCCCCTGCAGACCTGTGATGTGGGTCGCCTGTTTCTGATGAATTTGCAGTGTATAAAAATGAGCCCAATCTGGGACTCCTGCCATCTGAGCTGAGAAAAACCTTCCCAGGGTATATAGTGGGAGCAGTAGGGCGTACCTCTCCTTGCCATTCGGGACGCCCAGGGTGGCTCTCTCCGCGATGGGCGAGTTCCGACTTCGGGCTGTACCGGTCGACAGGATGCTATTCTGTGGTGGGGGGGGGGGATGGGGGTCACTCAAAGCACAGGGTGTCGGTGGCAGATGTTGGAGATGCTGGGTGACTGGCGGGCTTACTGTGGAGGGCGTGGGGGTGCTCTTCTTCCCTGAGGGGAGAGGGCTGGGCGGCACTTTGGCTGAGCTGCTGGAACTTTTCCTCCCAGAATCCTCGGCGGCGTGCTTGTCGCCGCCCTGGGAACGCTTAGAGTAGGAGGAAGAACCTGAGGAGAAGGAGCGAAAGAATTAGAAGATAGATATGAAAGAAAGAAAAAAAACAACACATAGACAAGGAAAAGAACATGATGTAATGTGTTTTGGAGAAGTATGAACGGGGGCCGAGGAGGGAGGAGATTTCATGGAGATTCAAAAACAGATAGCATCACCCACAGGGCAGACAAGATCTGCTGCACGGTCGCCGTGTCCTACCTTGCTCGCCAGCCCGCCGGGGCTTCGGATTGGATGAGGCGCTGCGCTGTACCTTCAGCGGCGGCGATTGGACGTTGCTGTTGGTGAGCTCCGCCCCCGGGCGGGGCTTCAGTGGCAGGCTCACGCCCTCGCCCAGCTGAGGACACAGGAAGCGGCATCATCACGCGGGCGTGACTCGTGGGGTCACGGGTGACGCTCCTCGAAAGCGTCACCGCATTCCTCCCCTGCACGTATCGAGCTCCCTGGACCGTATTATCATCATCTCAGCCCCCCCCCCGCAGTCACAGGATACAAACCTACAACAGTGGTATGGAGAAGAACGCTACGAACCTCTGAATTCTTGTAGTCCAGCAGCAGATATGTCGCCATGACCTCATCATACTTCTGGCTGATCAGGGAATCCCGGATTTCCTCGAGGGAGAAGCCCATCTGCATCATGATATCTGGGAGGTGGGAGAAGCAAGTCAAGGCCCGCGGGACTCTGGGGAGGAGCGGAACGCGCCAAGTGATAGAGGACGGGCGGGGGGGGGGATGGCAGACAGATAAGCATGGTGAGACACCGCAGGGTGGCCCACACACACCCCCGTTGCTGACCTGTCCTCTTGGGGTCCTTGTAGTCGGGCGTCGGCTCTACATAAGGCTTCAGCTCCTCCTCGTCATGACCTGCATTCATCCAGCGGTCCTTCATGATCTGCTGCTAGACCAAAGCACAGGAGAAAAGGCTGAGGGGGGGCGTTTTGAGGACCTGGACTTCTGTGGTTGCTCAGACAGTTTTCAAATAAAACCACTCCTGTGAAAAGTGCCCATATATATTTTATTGGAGCGGAGTTGTGTACAGAGGTCCTACAAGATCTTTGCAGGGATCCCAACACCCAGTGGGTGAGAAACTTACACCCCCCACCCCAAATACCAAATCAGGACACGCCTGGGCCACACTGACCTCCAGGCTGCCGCGCTTGCTCGGGTTCAAGATGAGAAACTTCTTCAGGAGGTTCTCACAGTCGGTGGACATGTAGAAGGGAATCCGGTACTTTCCCCGCAGGACTCGCTCACGCAGCTCCTGGAGGGGGACGGGGAGCGGGGCAGGCCAGTGAGCGAGGGAGGAGAAGAAGCAGAGGATTAAAAAAAATAATAATAATAAAAGGAGGACAGGAGGGTCAAAAGTAGAAGAGCAGCGGACAAGGGAACAGGAAGAGAGAAGCAGTGAGCAGGGGAACCAGGCCAGGTCTGACGGAGAAGAGGAGGATTAAAAAGGAGGACAGGAGAGTCGAAACCAGAAGAGAACTGGGCGCAGAAGCGAGGGTGGGGGGAATCAGGTCGGTATCCCCGAGTCCTTCCTGCACGGGGGCTCCCATATGTACCTTAAGGTTCTGCCCGTCGAAGGGCAGCGAGCCGCTGACCAGCGTGTAGAGAATGACCCCCAGGCTCCAGACGTCCACCTCGGGTCCATCGTACTTCTTGCCTTGGAAGAGCTCGGGGGCGGCGTAGGGGGGGCTTCCGCAGAAGGTGTCCAGCTTGTTCCCCAGCGTGAACTCATTGCTGAAGCCGAAGTCGGCGATCTTGATGTTCATGTCGGCGTCCAGAAGCAGGTT